TGTGAACATGTCGGTAATCCTTAGCGTGAACGGTCGCAGTGATCTCCCAGTGCGGAAGAGTAGAGGTTTTGGTACACCGTACGTAATTTGCAGTCCGTAGTAACCAAAGCGCTGTTTGACGCATCCAATATGATACGGTTCGTGGTTAGCGTTTCTACGATAACCACAAAGCCAAAGTGGCGATATCACTTATCTTCAGCAACACACTGTTGTGCACCAGGTCACTCCTGCAATCCAAGAAATCGTACTAAATAGAACTAAGGAATTTATAGTTTGTCAAACCGGTTGATACATATGTATTGCATAGAACGGCATATCGCCGATCTATTTTCCATAAACAAAACTAGCGCGTTTCTTACAAACAAAGAGTTCGGTGGTCATCGAAAGTTGCGGCGGTCTAATATGGAAGTGATTAGGTTGTATCCCCTTAAGTATCATGGTAACTAGTGTACCTTGGACGATAGCTGCGTGATCGCATCCCGATAATTGGATACAGTCGTTGGAATGGTCGTAACGACAAGAGGTCGACGTAGTTTGAAGCTACATGGCTGAAAAATGATCAGTTACGAAGTAGAAAACCGTCTGCTGACATCAACTTCACGACAGCAGTCCGCCAATGGTAGAAGTGAAGAGAAAATGTGATAAAAAGGCTCTGTGATTAACTTCTCTACATAAGCCTGAAGGCGATAGTGAACCACAGTAAGAATATTCGAAGTGTATATGGTAAGCGAGAAGTTGACACAATATGCGGGTACTAATACGTGGACTAGGAAACCATCCGACTCAAAAGAGAGGACAAAATAATGTTACAGAGTACAAATAGGGGAGAATGGTTAACACGTATCGAAAAAAGATAAGCGATGAAGATCGGCCTTCTGCAACCCTACGTGGATCAACGGAGGTAACTCCAACAACGATAGATGGTGTAAACAAGCATTAGCATTGTGTGACCAAGTCATTTAGTGTCACTTTCTTATGTGGTTCCTTTAGCAAAACGTTGGTTCCTGATTACTTGTTGTCTTTAACAGGTTGTGTTACTGAAAGAGTCTCCATATTGGTGTGTAAGCAAGAAGAATTACAATATTCCTGTCCAAAAAGTAAGATAAAATGGATGAATTCATAGCTCTGAATAAATGACTAGTGACGAGGTCGCCAGATGTCGTCTCTCAACCCTCGAGTGCTGTACTTGGTCATAGTCCAGAAATCGAATCGCCTGTACTGCTTCGAGCACATTCTATAAGTACTCGAAGTAATTACCCGGACAGACGAGAGGTACTACAACAGTGATGAGAACACTTGTGAGAGCAATGCACTGGGTTGCGATTAGTCTAGCCTTAACCTGCAAACCTTTCGTAGAACGTGTTCACTTTGAATTCCTAGTCCCTTGTAATTCCGTTACTGATTTATCGCTTCGTGTATACAAATTTTGCTATTTGCTCTCACGACGCAATTCACAGCAAATGAACAAATAGCAATTTGATATTCTGATCACAGCTAATCAACTGTACTGCACTGGATGATTGACAAGAAGGGAGCATACAACTACCTCAAACACAAGAAAATCTACGATTGAAGACGATATGGAAACAGTTAGCAGATTACGCGGAGTGAATCGACGCTATATCGGTAGACAGAAAGTCACTCGAGTGCTGTCTGCAAGGGTTTAATATGATCTCATCCACCACAGTGACCGTGCAGATTTGGTTCCGTCTAGCATGAACGAAACTCAATGCGACCCCAAGATAGAGAGGTGGATTGGACCGAGTAGCAGCGAGTGAACAATAGGTGTAGGCCAATGAACTTAAACGGACGGCAGAGGACGAACAAAACCAGCTAAGAAAAAGGAAATGGAACTGTGATTTTTAAAGCATATCATCAGCCATCTGAACTAAATGAAGAACATTTTATGCGCTCGGGTCAGCTGCTCACAAGTCAGATAATCTAACTTAAATCCGGAAAGGCATCAGACGACCGTTTTGCCCTTTTGGGGCTCATCAGTGTTGCGCATTCCCTCGGTTCCTTGCTGAGGACTGCTGGCAGCCTGCGCTACTAGCCAAAAGCTTTTGTCACCGAGTCATGAGGGTAGACACAGACCGTCACGTGGCAAGCTAGTTACCACGTAGGTTCCTAACATCGCAGAGGACAGTGGCTGCCTTCAGAGGTTCGGACTTTCACTACACAGCAGCGATATCCGCATAGTATCTCAAGACTGTGAAGTCGAATTTTCGATCGCTAGTGAGTAGCTTGCAAGTTATAACGGTCTGCCTACGTCTCCATGGTTCAGTAGCGTAAGCTGCTGGCCAGTTGGCGCAAGCTGGTAGCGGTCATGGGTTCGGTCTGTGGCAGGGGATTAAGGTAATGCGCACCACTGACGAGCCCCAATAGGGTGAAAGGATCATCTGATGCTTTCTGGATTGGGGGTTATAATATCTGGCGTGTAAGCAGCAGGAACAAATCAGTAAAATGTCATCAATAGTCCTCCAAATCATTAGTCATGGATGAAGTACCATAAGAGGAAGAGAAGGAAGACCAGGCGTCAAACATTAGTGACCTAAGCAAACATTCAAAGTCAAGGCACCTGCACCTTGTCAACGACATACCGTCAAAAACGACTGATGACATCAGCGAAATAACTCCCTTGCGGCTACCATAGCCCCGCATCATAATCAGCTCGCAACCAAAAATGACAGTCTGACTAGAAGGCGACAGTACACGAGCCAACGGTGCCGACCGCGGGCGGTGTTCGATAAAAATGAAAATGAAATGCGTCAGCTTATACGCCGTAACGGCGCCTCGCTGCCGCGCGACCACCACCAGTCGCGCGCGGGCTGAGTATACCGCGAGGACGCCCACCACTACACGGATTCGAACCGTGGTCGGAAAGCCAAGCGCAAAATGGGTCACATACACTCTAGTCCATCGGCCAGTAGTCTAGAGGTAAGGAAGTTGTCTCCTAATCTTGCGGCACGGATTCCAATCCGCGTAGGGGTGCGCGTCCTCGCGTTATACTTAGTCCGCGTGCGACTGGTGATGGACGCACGTTAGCGAAGCGCCGTTACGGGGTACAGCTGACATATTTTTCATTATTAGACTCTAGTCTAGAAGGCGAAACGGACTAGGGTCACCTAATTTTGTCGTTAATGACTTCATTTCTCGCGCGTGAAGCACATGTGAAGCTCGCCGCTCTGCACCAGCTGATCCCACAGCATAGGAATCTCAGATAGTCCACATCCTCATCCTCCTCCTCCTCCTCCTCCTCATCATCATCATACACGTTAGCTAGAGGTGGGGAACACCTCAGCTACTGTGCCGCAATACATAGAAAAAAGGAGAAAAAATGCAACTGGTGCAAGCTGGCTGAGCTACCGGTAACGGATGGACATCGTTCCGGTAAGCTACCGGCCAGCTGCTGTGCACCCAAAAAAATTACTATGCAAAATTATAGAAGGCTAAATAATGAGATCGGGGTTGGAGGGGGAGGCTAAGAGGGATGGGGTGGGACAAAGAAACTCACAGCACGAACGCCACTGAGGTCGGCTCCTAGCCATATCAGCAAGTGTGTCCAACCAAACGTGTTCATCGTCTTCCGGACCCCAACCAGGGAACCGAGACGCTCCAACCGAGGCCAGCTCAGAAGTGAGGGCCTTCATTTCTCTGGACCAGGTCATCGTTTGGCCACCTCTCCTCTTCTTCCATCCACACCCCCGGCGCGCAAACAACACACGTCGCGGGAGTCGGTGGGCTGGCATGCGTAACACGTGGCCAAGCTATCGGAGCCTGATGCGTGAAATAACTTTGCTGAGCGGTTCATTTGTACTTTCTGTGCCAGAAATAAGGCGTCGAAGACGCTTGTTGCTCACGCGGTGTTCCCACCAGATGTGAGCTAAATTACGAAGGCGCCGGTGGTCGAACGTAACTAGCCTCTTCAGGTCCGCTGCTTTAAGCGGCCAGGTTTCACAACCGTACAGTAGGGTCGAACGTACCGCTGCATTGTACACTCTACCGTTCAAGGCAAGAGTGATGTCGCGCCGGCGCCACAAGTGGCGAAGGTTAGCAAAAGCGCCCCGAGGTTTTGCTATACGGTTCGTGATCTCATCTTCAATCCCACGGGCGCTGATACAACTTCCCAGGTAGTTGAATTTGTGAACGACTTCTAGCTGATCCCCACCAAGGGTCAGCGTAGGAGGCGGTCCAGACCAATCTTGGAGAAACGCTTTGCACTTCGAGGGTGCTTCGTCCGTCGATAAATTGGTGTAACTAATACCTCAAGAGAATCAGAAATCCAAGTAATTCGAAATAATCCTAAGCAACATTTAGCAAAAAAAGTGGGGAAGGTAGCCCTGTTGCATCCTACTCGTTCCGTAGACTACCCGGTTGCCGCACAAGTAACCAGAATATTGGGCACTTTTGCTAGTAACCCTTCAGTAAAGGACAACGAAGCAAACCTACTTAATCCAAAACAATCGCGATAGGTTTTGTCGCAAGATAAATGAATCCTCGAGAATTACCTGCTAGGTATCAGTTCAGGTCAGCTGAACAAGTATGATCCGAGTACCGAGGCGCGGTGGATACAGTGGCCACGACTCACACCGCAAGAATAACAATAAATAACAGCGGTGATATAGTGAGGTTGAATGCAAAAAATGCACAGACTGCAAGCAAAAACGTAACGGTTGGAAAAATCAAAAAAAAACGAAAATTAACAACCAGATGTAAGAACATAACTGATTGCACCATGTTTGATACGGCCCCCAGCCATCGGTATGGAAAGCGAATGACACAATGAGCCAGTGAAATAACATTAAAGCCGCAGCACCACTCAGGAAATTAAGCATTCCTTAATGCATTATATATATATATATATATATATATATATATATATATATATATATAATAAACCAAGATTGCGTGGCAGCGATGATGAGAAGACATGAGTAGAATGCTGACTAATACTTAATCCAATGTATACATCGCAGCTCATAATTTTCAAGGGCACTTACGGCTGGGTCATCATTGGAGGTGGATAGCTTGTGAGTCGAGGCAGGGAACAAACTATGGGATGCGCACGGTTTGGTGGCTTGAGAAGAGACTGCAGGGAAGTTCGTAGTGTCACAAGTGGTTGATTTGTCAGCATGAGTACCAGTGTGCTTGTCCGGTTGCAGTAAAGGCCTACTGACGGGGATACTTTGTTTCAAACTGGCCACAGGGGGCACATAAGATGTGCTTACGGCACCTGGAGCATTACGGATAACTGGATCGGTCCCTGATGGAGGGACTTTTAGACCTAAAAGAGAAGAAAGTCATGGTTCAATTAATAAGTGCCAAAGATGACAATATTAGTGGAAATTTAAAAACGCGTAGTTTGTAAAAACCTACCACCGTGTAAAATACGTATCCAATGCTAAACAAAACCTAGTGTTCTTAGCAGTAAGATTACGTTCAACAGCCGGGGCATAGGCTATTGGCGAGGAACTAATACATGGAACCATGAAAATCTAAACGGTAGTAATTCGGACAGCACAAAGATCGCCTGTTAAGCGCTGAGATGAGTACACAAGTGTACTGATTAACCGACACAACGAAGGAAGATACTAAAAGATCGACCTATATAAATCGCCATAATTCGATAGCGAAGCGGATTAGTACTTACATAGCATTTGAAGCTATTCCATACATTCATAAGAGGAAGTAATCGGCAGTATCATCACCACTTCGTTCCGCTGCCATTTAACCACAAGCAGTTTGTGCTGGCTAGGACATTGCAGGAGCACCGAAATACAGGGCGAAGAGGCAGAACCAATGCACCGCGGAGCCTCTGATACATCCTCGCATGGAAAGGGAAAGTAAGCACAAAAAGTGGTATGCTGCCTGATATGCTGATATGAATACTCGTCACCTGGTATTCCACAGGATATGTCTCACCAAGATTGCACACACAATGCATTATGTGGATGGCGGCATCCGGTTGCAGAATTGCTTGTCGTTGCGGCTTCCATAGGATCGCCACAGGATGCCTACGCCTACAGAAACCATGGATGGCTTGCGCTGCATCACCCACAGCTCCATCCACACACCCTATATCCAGTGTAAAGCCGAAGGAATAAGACCGGGAGGCAGGTGGATGGGAGCCAGTTTCATCAACGGAGCCATCCCACTTTCAGTCAACATGCACAGCAGCAGCATTCCTGTATATTTATGTGGGGAGCCATGCGTACCAGACGTACACAAGGCGGCAGTTGAGCCGTAGTCCGCTCCACACTGAATGGAAGTACTTTTTGAGCCTGGCACGGCCACGAGGACCGTGCACCTGTCCTCCCAGCAAAGATTAAGTCTCCTAGAGCCAGTAATCGAGATAGGGTGTTAGACAGGTAAGCAACTTATCAACATTCAAATCAAGCGCAGCTACACCAGGGATATCAAACAACCAATATAGAATTTGAAGGGAAACAAACTCGCTAAGGTGACAGGAAATATGCAGCATAACAATAGAAATGAGCAGGTTAAATAAAGTGGAACACTTTTTATGCAGATTAATATGTAGTTTAAGCGAGTCAGTGTAGCCCAACTGAAGTGGAGAAGCCTGATGTGTGCAACATCAACCTCAGTATCGGCATATCTTATCATGTATTGTTTCCCACCTTTAGCATACGTGTGATGATAAAGTTCATCTACCGTAAAGTAGTTCGGTGCCTTACTGTTTAACAGTGTATCCTGACCCACACATATTCCTGAGGCTTTTAATAATCAGAATACAATTTCGCGCTCACAGGCCCAAAGCGTTATGTGTACCCCATGCTTTAAGATTTGTATCGGAAAGCATACTTCTCTATCGGTTATACAGCACCCCTGTTCTTTTTCCTAGACTTCTCAAAAGAACCAATCTTCTTGTTCATTGTGAAGTTTATTTCCCGATTCTCTGGATTAAAGAGGATCCCTCGTTGAATTAATGGTTAGCAGACGGTTTGGAACAATGCTACAACATCATGCAGAATTCTAAATAACTCCTCACTCCCTGCACACAGTTCTATCCAGTATTATATATGTTGCTTTGACACGGTCGCAGTATTAGTTTTTATTTATGAAACTTAGTCCGTTTGCAACACTGCCCCGCTGGCAGCCCCAACAACAGACGTAAAGTGGAGATACAGTCAATAAAACCATCGATCCCGACGAAATCCGGCTTGCCAGTCGGCCTATGCAGGGCAAATAACTTCAAGGCAATTGAGACCAGGCTGATCCTTCCATCCATCGCAATGAGGCTGGACCTTACCGTGGTGCGATGGTTTGTGTGCCTCAGTGATCCATTGAGCTACACTGGGTGGTGCTTTTGCACCTTCAGAGCGACTCATACCAGATTGGTCAATGGTTAGAGGCCAGACAAACAACCTCCTGGTCCTCTAGGTTGGGGGTTGGAATGAGGGTGGCACCATATTCCTTAAAACGGACTCCTTGTAGCCCAATGCCAAACCGGCTGCCTTGCGGACGGGTTTTTGAACCAAAGGTTTTGGGTGAGAACCCTAATCGTTCTCCAGCCCAGGCCTGGGCAACCTGACAGTATCCTGCCCACGCAATACAATGAATCTCAGTTCAAACAGTTTCTCGATGCTCTGGCTATCGCAGAGGATAATCAACGGTGCTCTATCTGCTGCATCGGGCAGGGTGGATAGGGGTTTGGATGCTACTGCTCAAGCCTTCCCATCTCCTTATTCCCCCACTTGCGCTTTTTCACCCTTATCGTCCCGTTCCAGCTTCACTTTTACCCCCCTGTTTTCAACCCCCCCCCAATTCTTGGCCCTCCCCCACCTTGCCTCAATAGTCGCTTGTCTTTTAGTTTCAACTCACAGGTGAACGTGGAGCGTCATTCCTGCACTGTCAACAGGCCCATGTCCAAGCAAGCGGCCCATTTCAGTTCATCGGCTTCCATTTGGAGCCCTCGATCATCCTTCAGACTGGCATGCCTCAGTGTTCGCACATTGCTTCAGATCGGTCAACAGGCAGCACTTGCCCGAACATTAGAGACCCTCCATCGATATCTGCTGCTTATCGGAGACCCGCCTGCAAGACTCGAGCTCTGTACTCACTCTGCGATCCCCTTCAGGTGACACTAGCAGCACTTTCTCATTGCGCCTATCCGGTGACGATGCAGCTTCGAGCACCGGCCAAGCCGGTGTTGGTATTGCCCTGAGTCCCCGGGCTGAAGCTGCTCTGGTTGATTGGATTCCAATCAGTAGCCGGATGTGTGCGGTCCGATTGGCTGGCTCGTTCAAAACTTCGAAGTCATGTGGGACTAACAGGTGTCTATTCGTTATCGCTGCCTATGCACCGACAAACTGTAGCGATGACTCAGTAAAAGACGACTTCTATCGCCAATTGAACGAACTCATTCGCCACAGAAGAAGCTCGGACATTGTAGTGCTGGCCGGGGATCTAAACGCTCAAGTTGGGAAATTATCCACAGATGGCCAACATGGTATAGGCTCCCGTAATGATAACGGTGAGCGGTTACTTTATTTGTGTGAGGATGCTCGCTTATTTCTTACAAGAACTAATTTCCGACACAGCACCCGCTGGAGGGTGACTTGGCGCCCACTAGCCTCGAACCAGCTATGGGCGCAAATCGATCACACTGCGTTAAGTTACCGATGGAGAGGCTGCGTCCAGAACTGTCGCTCGATTTGGAGCACATGTGTTGACAACGATCATGCACTTGTATGTGCTGACCTGCGGACGCGCTTTGGCAGAGGCCCAAAACGACGTTGTGAGCGCATTGACACCGGCAGACTGGCGAAGCCAGCTGTTCTGAATGCCTATCAAAGTACGCTGTCATCCGAGTTGGATAAACGCTCACTGGATGCAATTGAAGTTCAGTGGTCTCATATTCACCAGTCCTTACTAGTAGCAGGCAAATCCTCATGTGGCATGCCTAATCGCCAACATAGACGTTGGGTCTCTTCACAGTCTCTGGAACTTATAGATGCTCGCCGGCATATTCTGGATGGAGGCGAACACAATGAAACTCGCAAAGAGCTCCGGGTGAAACTCCGTACTAGCCTGAAAAGAGACCGCGAATTCTGATGGTCTCATCGTGCAACAGAGATGGAAATGGCCGCTGCCCTTGGTAACCATCGTAAGTTATTCCGTCTGACACGGGAAACGGGCAGCAGGAGACCTGGTGTTAGTGAAACTATACGTGACGAGAGTGGACAGCTTATCCACAACTTATCAAAACGCTTGGAACGTCGGGCTGAGCACTTTGAAAGGCAATTTAATCGTTCGGAATTGTTAGATTTCTCGCCGACCAGTGATTGCCCTGCTCCGTGGGCTGTTCCTTTGGATCCACCGTCTCGCTTAAAAGTAGAACGTGAGATTGAACTGTTGAAGTTAAATAAAGTCGCGGGACCTGATGACATTCCTCCAACCCTCTTCAAATTCCAGGGACCTGCTCTTGTGGATGATTTATACGAATAACTAGTGAAACTGTGGGAGCAGGAAACTGTCCCAACCGATTGGAGCCGCTCCGTAATAGTCCCGATTTTTAGGGGAGGCTCACGATCGGAATGCGGCAGCCATAGAGGAATCAATCTGATCTCCATCGCCTCCAAATTGCCTGCCTCTGTCATCCTTCACAGACTGACTGGCACTCGTGAAAGCCAGATTCGTGAAGAGCAAGCTGGATTTCGTCAAAGTCGTAGCTGCATTGATCACATCTTCACTTTGCGTCAGTCGTTGGAGCACCGTCCCATATATTGGCGGCCCACCGTTTTTTCTGTTCCTCGATATCAAAGGTGCATTCGATTCAGTGGTTAGACATGCACTTTGGGACTGTCCACTCAGGAAAGGTGTACCTGTGAAATATGTGAATATTAACCGAGCATTATATGCGCGTAGATCGGGCACAGTGAGGGTTTATGGCAAGTTGTCGCCGCTCTTTAATATCTCCAGCGGCGTGAGACAAGGATGCCCGCTGTCACCTTTCCTCTTCAACTTCGCTGTTGACGAAGTCATGGAAATCGCGTGCACAGGACACGACTTAGGAGGTGTGGAGCTACTCCCAGGAGAACGACTTCTTGACTTAGAGTATGCTGATGATATTGCCCTGATCTGTGACAACACACAAACGTGTCAAGGGGCACTGGACAGATCAGCACTAGCTGTCCGTCACTTCGGGCTTTGCTTCGCACCCTCGAAGTGCAAAGCGTTTCTCCAAGATTGGTCTGGACCGCCTCCTACGCTGACCCTTGGTGGGGATCAGCTAGAAGTCGTTCACAAATTCAACTACCTGGGAAGTTGTATCAGCGCCCGTGGGATTGAAGATGAGATCACGAACCGTATAGCAAAAGCTCGGGGCGCTTTTGCTAACCTTCGCCACTTGTGGCGCCGGCGCGACATCACTCTTGCCTTGAAGGGTAGAGTGTACAATGCAGCAGTACGTTCGACACTACTGTACGGTTGTGAAACCTGGCCGCTTAAAGCAGCGGACCTGAAGAGGCTAGTTACGTTCGACCAACGGCGCCTTCGTAATTTAGCTCACATCTGGTGGAAACACTGCGTGAGCAACGAGCGTGTTCGACGCCTTGTTTATGGCACAGGAAAAGGAACTGAACCGCTCAGCACCGTTATTTCACGCATCAGGCTCCGATGGCTCGGCCACGTGTTACGCATGCCAGCCCACCGACTCCCGCGACGTGTGTTGTTTGCGCGCCGGGGGTGTGGATGGAAGAAGAGGAGGGGTGGCCAAGCGATGACTTGGTCCAGAGAAATAAAGGCCCTCACTTCTGCGCTGGCCTCGGTTGGAGCGTCTCGGCTCCCTGGTTGGGGTCCGAAAGACGATGAACACGTTTGGTTGGACACACTTGCTGATATGGCTTGGAGCCGACCTCAGTGGCGTTCGTGCTGTGAGTTTCTTTGTCCCACCCAATCCCTCTTAGCCTCCCCCTTCATCCACGATCTCATTATTTAGCCTTCTATAATTTTGCATAGTATTTTTTTGGGTGCACAGCAGCTGGCCGGTAGCTTACCGGAACGATGCCCATCCGTTACCGGTAGCTCAGCCAGCTTGCACCAGTTGCATTTTTTCTCCTTTTTTTCTATGTATTGCGGCACAGTAGCTGAGGTGTTCCCCACCTCTAGCTAACGTGTATGATGATGATGATGATCTTTCCATGGTTGCTGAATTCCGAAGTCAGCCTCCCTATAATATTGGGACTATAACGGAGTGACTCCTGTCAGGTGGGACAGTCTCCTGTTCACAACCAAATTGTGCAAATCATCCACAAGAGCTTGTCCTGCTAATTTGAAAAGGGCTACAGGAAGTCTATCTGCTCATGTGGTCTTATTCAATTTCAAGTCTGATCTCACGTTGGACTTCTGCGCGTGGGGGCAAATCCAGATTCATCGTATTGCGTGTACAGAATGATGTCAGTTTGCCCAGGCACAGATAGAACGATTAGGGTTTTCAACCAAAGCCTTGGTTTCAAAAAACTAACCACAAAGCAGCGGGATTTCGGCAATGAGCTACTGAGAGTCCGTTTTATAAAGTAAGGATACACCATCACTCCAACCCCCAAAGAGGAGGGCCAGGAGACTGTGTTTGTCAGGTCTCTAACCACTGACCAGTCTGGTAGCAGTGGCTCTGAAGGTGCGAAAGCACAACGCAGCATATCCCAATGGATCGCTGAGGCGCGCAAACCATCGCACCCCGTTAGGGTCCAGTCTCGTCACTACTGTTTCTACTTAAGCCAGATACCTGGTCAATTCATAGTGAAGGCATTAAGTGATTGGCCGTCGTTGCTAGTTGGTGCATGCTCGGCATTGCTCACATTAAGGGGCACAGCGAGTGATCACTGCTTAGTTTCACCAGATGATGTTTGGCAAGAGACCCTCTAATGCCCAACTGGAGTGTCTGTCAAAGTTGAACCGCTTCCACTGATTAGATCATATCCTGCGTATCTCCATTGACCACCTTCTTCTGGGTGCACTATATGCCTTCGCTGCATCAAGATGGGTGAAATTGCGAAGTGGTCAGTCAACAAAGTGACACAAGGTCATGGAGTAATTAACCAACTGTCAAGTCGGTGCGTGTAGCCTTGGTGGATGCGGGCCGCAGGATGATCTACATGATTGGTTGGAAACCCGATTGCACATGATGCAGTTCCGAAGTCAGTCGTGCTCCTGCATTCAGCTCCCTATATTTAGCCATTAATATTCCATCCCAATTAGTTTAACCCACTTATTTCTTGAATGCCTTTCCTTGGTATTCTGTTTCGGCTCCACCTCATTTTCTCGCCCTTGTTATCTACCGTTAACCTGGCGATGAGTGTTGTGATCTAGCGCAATTTAGTGCCCGGATCATAATTGTTTAACCCGACTCATTTCCCGGTGGAACTCAAAGATTGTGACGAGTGCTCAGCTGCCGAAAGCGTATATGAAACTGGATCTACAAGCTTGTGGTTGTGTAGGTATCTTCACAAAGGATTAGCATATTGGAGTGGAGTCCACTGGTGGAAGTGGAGTCATGGATTTTCAGCTTTAATATATGAACAATTGTACAGAGACAGCTAGAAAGAAGCTGATTTCACTAAAGTTATGGGATTCAAATGGACAAAAGGAAGGGACAATTGCAGAGTAAAATGCTCACCTAAAGGTGGATTGATGGCCTCGGGTGCGGTGATTACGGGATGAGAATAGTAGTCCTTTCGTGTTGAATGATAGCCGTCGTAGTCACCAGAGAGTGGTCCATTAAGTGAATAAACGGATGATGAGATAGGGAAAGGGGGAGCAGATGAAAGAACATGCCGGGGATCGGTTGCGAAAACTGAGGAGTTCGCGGTGATGTAATCAGGATATGGCGGGCGGCAGGCCATGGAAGCAGGTTGTGAACCGAAAAGTGATACTTGTGCTGGTTCGACGGAGATGTTGGGGTTATTTGGAATTGCTCGGGTACGGATTGCCGGCAGTTGGGAATTCACCGCCGCAATTGCTGCTGCAGCCATACCTTCTGGCAGCCAGCGTCGCAAATCATTGATAGCCTGGCTCAAATCTCTGATAGGCGTCTGAAGTGTATTCATCGTGTTCGTGAAAGATGTCAGCATAAGAGTCCTGAAATGATCTTCTTCGATATTTGGCCGAGATGGAACGAAATTACTGACTGCTTCAGAGAGTCGCTTGCTAGTTTCATTAAGCTGTATGGACAATTGTTCATTCAGCTGATGACTTTTTGACAATTCAGCTTTAGTCTCTGCCATTTGACTTGATAGCCCATTAACTAGAGCCTGCCAACTGGTGAGGAAGCTTGCCATGGCAAATTCCTGCAACAAAGCAAAAAAAACAATTGTGAAGCGACTGTAACAACGTCATCCGTACAAAGCATTCAATCTCATGCAAAATAAAGAAGACGTTCCTGTGAGCACAGGAATGCAACTGATTGATGTATAATTGACTGCGATCGTAAGTTAAGGTACAGAACCTCGTCAGATTGGTGGCAGAGAGAATGGATGTGAAGAAAAAACAAGTTAGTAAAGGGGACTCGGAAAGTGGAAGCGAGGGGCAATGTACCTGTATTTGATCAAAATGCTCAAGTTGAATTTCAGAACGCATGCTGCATTGTTCGGCGTTTAGAAAGTCATCCTTCCGAGTTAGATCACCAGAATTAGTCCACGAATGGAGGTCCGTGGAAGCAGGTCTCTTACTATGAACGTCAGCATAGTCGAAAATTTTCTCCGCATTACTATTTGAGTATCCATTGTGACAGGCTAGTAGGGAGTCAGTGAACGGTGCATGTGTGTATGCATATGAATTACGCGAAGAGCCTTTTAAGAAATTGGTATGTGAAAGCGCGAATGAAGAGTCGTGAGTAACGTCCAATGCAGCAATCGGAGTCTGGAAACAGTAAAAACAAAGAAATGATGAATTTCCAATGGTAGCAACAATGTTGAGAACATAGTGAAAAAGGATGAAAATAGGTTGAAATAAATCACACGCCCATGCCTGGGAAGTTGGCCACGGTCATACTCGAGGTATGTAATTTCACGGTTTTAGACCGGAATGCAAGCTAGCAACGGTCAATGCCAAAAGCAACACTCCGTGGGCAATTAAATAAAGGGAAATCATTATCAGTGGCGTCACTGTCTCCGAGAAACGGGCCGGCGTAAATACTGTTCGGTCATGTATCTGAATGATGAATCATTAAGCCGTTTTATTAAGACGCCTCTTAACAGTTACGTGGTGAACGGTCATTTGCGACCACTTCAATCCAAGTTAATCTTGGTCGATAATGTCGGAACTGCACATTTTGAATGCAAGACAAAAAAGTAACAGTAGCAAGCCGGAATCCGGCACCGACGGCTCACTGTTACGCGACCAGCAGTGACTGCATGCGGGCTGATATATTAAGAAATCGCAGTGCCCCATCGCAAATGAATTTCGGGGTTGAAACCGAGTACAACTGATCAGTGAACAGACACTGGATTCCCCAAACTACAGGTGGGACCACACAAACTAACGGCATAGAATACCCAATCAGGTAGTTTAGCTTCGATTCGAGTTACGAACTGCGGTAAACTGAGACATTGGATATCACGGCAATACAACGATGGAAGTATAGCAGAATGACAAAGGGTAGGCCATAAGCACAACAAACAAACAGCGTGGAAGGCCTGATGGAGAGGCCGGCAACTGGAAGCAAAACCGTAAGTGCGAGGGCATCTTTAAATTGTTGGCCATGCGAAAAAGAAAAGGGCTGCTAATCATCTATGTAGCTGCCTTGCCAAACAACTTCTACGTGGTACCAGCTGGGTGGTTCAGCGGCAGTATTCCAAGATGTGGTGGGTTTTTGTCTGGTAAGCGTTCTTCCTAACAAAAGCCACAAAGGTCCGTTTAACAACACTGCGTGGCGGATGTGACTCGCCAATAAAGAAAATCACCGACATTCGCTTCATTTTGGTGGAGAATTGTGGGAATGACTGGGCCACTGTTTGGTAACCGAGCAAAGGAAAGGCGCATGAACTGAGCAATCAGCCACCGACTCCCAATGGGCACGATTCACTTCGCTGATTTGCGGGCAGGTTATTCAGCTAAACGCTAGGGGTGTCCCCTAAGTCAACACCCTACCTGGAATTTGGTAACCGGGTAGTATCGCGCCTATGGCGAAACCACGGAATACTCTGTGCCATGTTCGGTTCTCTTTTCATAACTGCTTGATTTTAGGCAGGTTCGCGCTTCCTGCACGCCTGCGAGTAAAGACGAGCGCCCTCCGGAGATGAACAGAGTACGGCTAATTAATCTTTGCGCGGTTTGATTTAAGCAACGCGATTTCAAAAACCATTTAAGTCAGATAAGACAAAGGCATTGGTGGTTCACGTGCCGATACATCATTGCCTTGCAACCGTGAGCGGTTACGCGCCGGTTGTGACACCCGGTTGGGAGCGCCCAAATAAGTGCAACATCGGAACGTAATTAGCGTGACAAACGCCAGAGCCACCATACGACGAATTCTTCCTTGGACCTAAATTGACAAGTCGGGGAAAGCCGATAAATACGCTTAGATACCTGAATCTACTAGACAATTCCAGCAGTTCATTGCCAGCAGCGATGCACAGACATTGACAGAACGTCAGTCAGCTACAATTAGCGCGTAGCATACGCGAATAAGTCCCGGAAATGTACACGATGCTCTTCAGTGGCAATCTCAAAGATACGGTGAACTCAGGAGATTAACATTACTTGCCACGGCAGGATAGGTCTACATCACAAAGTGCGCCAGAAATCCAGACAATTGATAATTTGGTCATTTTCAAAAACAAATACAATACATCAGCACCCCACACTGGCACTTCGCAAGAATAAAACTAATAATTAAAACCTGTGATAAGAAATGGGAAAAAAAGTGAAAGGAATATAGCAAGGGAGACCTAGACCGAAGGCAAGAATATCAAAAACCTAGGTGCAGACATCTGGTGAACACCGCATAGGCACAAATTGCAGGCAATCATATGAGAAAGCGATTTCGGCTGCATTATGACTCCCAAAACACCGCGTCTTAATCAACCTGACCCCACAGACAAAGCTATGGTGACCAATGCCGTTGCGAGTCATGCCTTCCTAATACTGCAATCAGGAGCAAAGTGGGTCATGTATATCCCAACCAAAGGGACGGAAAAGAGCAAAGAAATGCTGTTTTACACCTGACTACAATCTCTGCTGCCAAATCAGACTCCCCCTCCCTGATAGGTAATCAGTGGAAGTTAAAAGCAAGGCACTGCAACCAGCCGATCAGTGTCGAGGGGAAAATAACGGAAATACTTTCAGATAAGAGCCTAAGAGCTTGGTGAGAAGCGACAGTGGAGGAAGAAGTGGCCAAATCTCTAATATAAGCAGTGGCATCGGCCTTATTGCAGCGCGTTATGCACTATATGTTTGACACACTTATATTCCAACGCCTCCACAGATCGTTAAGTTTTTGAAAAGAGACACAATCACAAAGTAATATGAACCGATCCAACACTTTCAGTGGCTGTTCACTTATAGCTAAAAGCAGTAGTGTGTCGACCTAACCTTGCAACAATACTCTGCGAAGCACATGCCGAAACGTAGTTTGTTACGCCTCAGTCCATTTAATAGTGCTCGCGTAACTATCGGGTTCGACCTAAGGAAAGCCATATCGTCCGCATCCTCAAAGTTCGTCGGTCTGTCCGCAGGCAAAACTATTGCTCTGAAGGGGGCTGAGAGGACGGAGCCCTACTGATCACTTCGATCACGAAGTTGGAGAGGGATATAGGAACTCTTTGGTGAACCTCACTATTGATAGAGAACTCAAGAAACCGCTTTCCGTAGGACATTAACCGGTTTCAAATGGAAGTCACCCTAACACGACCTTCAGCAATAGGATGTACCACAAGCTGGCACGATCAAAAGTGAAGGCGGTCTTCAGGCAAAGGAAAGCAACCACGGTCGGTCGTGTGTGTGTCTGTTCTAAATACAAGAGTAAATATGTGACTAATTCAGTTACAACCAGGGCGGAAACCATCTTGGTTCTCAGTGATTCAGCTTTCACGAGGGTCAGTAAGTCGTCTCAGAAGGATATTCGTGACGGGTTTGAAGGTAATGGAAATAAGGCAAATATCGGTGATTTTCGTACCTTCACCTGAACATAAAAAAGTAATGGGAAGTTGGGCTAAAAATGGAGTTGGTTCGGTGGATGTTGTCTCTTTGGAATGGAGTAAGAGAATCAGTTGAAAACGATCGGGATTCGCGCAGCGTCCTACAAGTTGTACTACCAGGAATTGGACCCATGAATACTTGATTGACTTGGTTTTTTGCATCGCCAGTGCCAGCACTTTTTACTAAGCCAAGTTGCAGAGTAACCCGAGTAATTGTGAAAGGGCGTTCAGATTGCAATGAACAACTGACAAATTAACTGATAACTAATGAAAGAACTGATTATACATTATTGCAGAAATGCCTTGACATACTTACAAGGTTATCAGCGTTATCACGCGAAGACAACTCAACGGCTCGTTTAAGATAGTACTGCGCATGGCCCCGGTCACACAATGGATCCCACGCGTTTGAATTGCTGAGATTTACGTCGGCTTCAGAAAAGTCATCTGTGGCTGTACTTCCATGTAATTTCTCTGTGCAATCTCTGAGAAGGATGCCAGCAAGACGAAACACTTTTGGAGGGAAAGTGGAGTATTCCTGATCCAATAAACTTATTAAAAGGCGAAACAATTGCTCTTCCTTGAAAGAAAACTTTCCTTTGCCAGTAAAGCGTCGTTGAAGTAAGGTCAACAACTGATATACACCAAAGGTGTACCAGTTCCACTCAAGAGAAGTGGATGATTCAACAGATCTTTGAACTCCAAGCCACCAATTGCAATCAGGTCCCACGTAGAGAGCATGAGGAGCGCTTTGAAACCCGAAACTGTATGTAGTTTAAAAGAGTATGAAAATGATCGACTAAAGTGTAGGAACAATATTGCAGGAAATGGAAGCAGACGGATCGAAAGAACAAGCTCCATGTAATGAGTGAAAGCCAACATAAAGAGGGAATAAGCAATCTTCCAGGTAAAATGCCTCATACCGTTATCACAACTTTTCGGTTTACATTATAGCATGATAAGTTTTCAGTACATAGGTTCAGTTGTATAAAAAGCATTTGCGCCTACCAATATGAAAGGACACAACGGGCCAGTGAATCACAACAGCCAAATGAGGCTGAGATGAATGGCTACAGAGTCAAATAAAATGCTTGGGTATGATGTTGGGACAAAAACGAAAAAGATTGTTAACGGAAAATAAATTGTAAAACCCAACCTCGATCGTAATTGACCCTCCTTCCGCCGAACAGGCAGTTCGGAGTCGGGAAGAGCAAATCGCGTCTTGAATGGCGCCATGATGGAGTGCTTGCCAGAAGTTTGATATTGTAGGGCAGCGCACCAATACCCGAATGCCCAATCTTCAATTGAACTTCTTCTTTCAACTGACGACTCATTTAAAGAAAGTCGCATAAGAGAACGAGCAATTCGGAATAAAAGGGGGATGGGAAAAATCGGCGAGTGTTCCTCAGTACACTTTGTACAAAACCCAAGCAGCCGGAGTTGATTCAGGCCACAGTGAAGCAGGAGAGACGTGGCTTTAGCCTTCTTGCTGCATAGAAGTGGAGGGAAATAGGAATAAGAAAGCAAGTGTATTACAATATATAATGCGAAACAAAATAGATGGTAAAGGGTATATGGGGGGATGCAGCGTTTAGCCAGAAGCACGTGGTAAGCACTAAATGTCGACATAAAATGACCCACACAAATACCCAAAATAAAATTGCGATGTGCCAACGATAGCACAGAAGTCAGAAGGGTGAGTTTGAGCAGGGAGCCAAAACGTTCGATGGAAGATGATAATAGGTTAGTAGTGATAGCCACTATCCCTTGGAGCTTAAGTACGGACTAAACATTGTGCGGTTAATTAGTGGATTAATGGAATAAACCAAGTAAATTCTCAATTTTCGACGCCGTTGAAGGACAGCCAGTTGAAAACAGTGTGGTTATGCAGAGTTGGTAAAGCAAAAGTTATAAGGTGCTCGTACTAAGATATGACAGTTTCCAATTAACGATCTCCCCCTGAACACGCGCAAATGGATTGTTTCGAAAGCAAGACAAAGGCCAAGTGAACGACAAAAGTAACTATCGTTTTGGGCTGAGGTCTGTGTAGATCGCCAAGGGATATCCACCTGTTAAATGTTGTCGAGATACTATCGGCATCCGGGCTTGGGTAGATGAATCATGGGGTCGCAACAGGAATGTTTCATGGTCACTAGTATGATGTGTCAGTAACTGACCAACACCTAACAATGATCATTCGGAGAATCAGATAATTAAGATTCACGCAGTATGTACTTACCCATTAGTCTTGCCGGTAATGGATTGTATGGCACAGGACCACCATTGCGTCTGAATGGCACTCGGGAGGGATGATGTGGGAATCAAACAAAGAGGGAGAATAAGCCAATCAGCTCCTACGCCGACGGTTGTCGCATCAAAGAACTGATCACGAAGTAGGACACTGGCGCTGCGAATCGCAACTTGAGTAAGGGCTCCCAGAAGAAAAGATATCAAATCCAGTTGGCACAAACTGATTGAGTGAGAACCAGTGAAACGCACATCCGCATCGGAAAACGGTACAGGTGGTGTGGCGAAGGCAGAATTGTGAAACGGGAGCGATACAACTAGAAGTGGGCAGTAAGTAACAGAAAAAGAGAATGCACATAACCAACAAGACAAATAGAGATCATAATTAAAGTAGTTTAGTAGCTCATATGTATGTGCAACCACAGATGATAGACACACAAACATGGTAATTTTCTCGAAAAAAGCCATAAAAAGGAAACACTTAACGAAATCAGTTTCGCAAGCTGCATCTACGAGCGAAAACGTCAAACTGGTGCGTGGATAACGAGGAAATTGAAGTTAATATAGTCAATCGCAGTAGATAAAATAGGATTGATTAACATTTGTCCTCCCTTCCTATGACAGATAGTAAGAATAAATACGGTGGAAAGATCGTGACCAATGGACAATACGTGATAAGATAAAATCCAAAACAGGCAACCAGTTGAAATCAGTGTGCAACCATGAGACTGAGCACTTTGTGTTTGTAAGCAACTCGACATCACAGCAGATCGACAGACAAACAAAAACCACGTATGACGGTCCATTAATGTTCCCCGCAAACGTCGAAACAGAGTGGAACAAGCGCATGATATCATTTAGGACGGAGCAATATGTTAGACTACAACGGTGGCCAAAAATCCTAAGTGCTAATGCGTAACTGAAACAAATGAATCCATACATTAAAATCGCCTCAGATACTTTCAAACCCAATATCGATTTGAAATTTTCCACTTAGCCGTTGTTAAACAAGTAGGGGGAACAGGTGATGGTAAGCGGTCCAAGGCACTTCAGATTAGAGACGATGCACTGAACAAAGTTGTACGTAATGTGCAACTGTGGGTAAAAAGGTTCCATAAATAGGAAGTGGGACGCGATCACTAAAATTTGTCAACAGGAAGATGGATGACAACCTCGTATTTGTTACAGGCGTCTATAATACTAATAAGATATAGAAATAGGCTAGCAGCAAAAGCGGTAAGTAGATAGCGATGGACTCAGAGTGAGTAAGACGGTTGAAGCACAAAATTAGTGTCCCAAATGGGGAAGCAAATAACTAAGCGTCCCCACAGAGCAGGCTATTCCAAATGTCCCGTAATCCCACAAATAATCCAAAACATAACAAGCCGTCTGATGAGTAAAAACAGTGGTAACAGCTGCACGATGTCGCCTTGAGTTGTGGTGTGTGAACGGTCGTGGGTACACCTTCAAACAATGATAGCCCTAATTTGTCCAAAAACGTTGGACAGCTTCGGTGATGCTAGGAGTGTAAATTCATTTGATAGAAAACAGGGCGTAATGACCTTCGCCGAAGTAATCAACACACACCTGTTTCTTGGCTGGTAGAAGCAAACCTATCGTATTTGCTTACTACCAGAAGCTAATAACAGAAAAATGAGTAACCGACCGGGTGAGAAATTCAGTAAAGAGCAAAGGCGGACGGCCGACAAATGAACAGACTCCTAATGCTAGTGAGTCCTAACATGACGGCAACGACGTGTAGCACGCATAATGTAACAATAATAATAATAATGGTAATAATAATAATAGTAATAATAATGTCGCAGCTGTATGCTGTAACGGCGCTTCGCTGCCGTGTGACCACCACCAGTCGCACGTGGGCTGAGTATACCGTGAGGACGCCCACCCCTACGCTGATACACGTAATATAGTGGTGATGGCTCGGAAGAGTTTGGATGCTACGAGCCGCAAAAATTACAAGATCTGCCAGCAACGTGCAGAACGCAGGATTGCCACACTAAACAGTTAACAACTGAAAGGAAACAGTCGACAGTTCAGTTAACAGTTATGATCTAGACACTAAAGTGAGATCGACCCAGGTGCCAAAACTCTCATCGCCCGGAGAACGATAAACATCGGGACGAAAAATAAGGCAGAGTGAAAGGAAGATACAAAGAGGGAATAAAGAAAGAAATGGGTTAAACTAATTGGGATGGAATACTAATGGATAAAGGCAGGAAACTGAATGCAGGAGCGCCACTGACTGCAAGACTATATCATGTTCAACAGGGTCTCCAACTACTCATGTAGACCAACCCGCGGTTCCCATCTGTCGAGACGGCACGCACCGGCTTGACAGTCGGTTAATTGCTCCGCGACCTTGTGGTACGTTGTTGACTGACCACTTCGCAATTTCACCCATCTTGATGCAGCGAAGGCATATAGTGCACCCCGAAGAAGGTGGTCAATGGGGATACGCAGGACATAACCCAATCAACGGAAGCGGCCCAACTATGACAGACACTCCAGTGGGGCATTAGAGGGTCTCTTGCCAAACATCATCTGGTGAAGCTAAGCAATGATCATTCGATGTGCCCCTTAATGTGAGCAATGCCGAGCATGCACCAACGAACGAAGACGGCCAATCGCTTAATGTCTTTAGTCCGAACTGGTGTAAGAAGCAACACCAACCTAATTGCAGCGTTATACACTGTATGACTGACACAGTGATATCCCAACGCCTCCACAGATCGCTGAGTTTCTGAAAAGAGACAAGAGCTTTGATGATATGTGAATTACCATACCTCAGTGATGTGACCACAGGAGCGATACAATCACAAAGTAATATAACCCATCCAACACTTTCAGTGGCTGTGCACTTATAGCTAAAAGCAGTAGTGTGTCGACTCAACCTTGCAAGAATACATTGCAAAGCATATGCCGAAACGTAGTTTGTTACGCCTCAGTCCACCTAATACTGCTAGCATAACTATCGGGTCGCGTCATCGAAGTTCGTCCGCAGGCAAAACTATCACTCTGAAAGAGGCTGGGAAGACGAAGTCATTTCGATCACTTTGGTAACGAAGTTGGAGATGAAGGAAGATATAGGACATCTTTGGTGAACCTCATCAATGATAGGGAACTCAAGAGACCGCTTTCCGTAGCATATTACCGGCTTCAGGAGTCAGGATAGAGATAGCCGAATGGAAAGAAGTCTCCCTCGCACGACCCTCACCGATAGGTAGAACCACAGGCTAGCATGATAGAGGTGAAAGGTGTTTTTAGGCCAAAAAAGTGTGTGCTCTAACAAGACGGTGTAAATATGTGGTCAATTCAGCTACGAGCAAAGCGAAAACGAGCCTTGTTCTCAATGATACGGATTTTACGGGTCCAGTAAGTTGTCACAGTATGACATTCGTGAGACGTTTGGAGGTAGTGGAAGCAAGATAAATACCACGATGATTTTCGGACATCATCATTACACGCTAGGTGAAGTTGTGAAGCATCTCAGCCACAATTCGAAAACAAGATAAACAAAATCGAGACACAACACCATACAGAATACGATATAAAAATCATAAACAGGTAATACGATGCTTGTAGTCATATTACGCATCGGGTGTGAGATCATGGTTGGAGGAGATAAGCCGGAAGGGTAGGGACTAAGAAACGCAACACAAACGCGATGAAGACCGACTGTTCGCCATATCAACAGGTATATCGTCCGTCGGCCTACAGCGCGGCAATCGAGAGACACTAACCGGTGCAAAGTCAGGCCACAGATTTATTGACCAAGTTATCAGTTGGCCTACTTTCCGCTTCTTCTATCCACACCCCGGTCGCACAAACAACGCAAGTCGCGGGAGTCGGTGTGCTGACGTGCTCAAAAAGCTGTCCAGCCATCGGAGCCGTGGGTGACATGATGATGCTTAGCGGTTCACTCGTTCTTCCTCCACCAAATGCACGACGTCTAACACATAATTTTCGCACAAAAAACGTTGATCCTTGTCGAAGACAAGCTTGATAGTTGACGGCTGCCAGAATTAAGGCACCACTTCTATCTCAAACAGTGTTGAATAGAACGGCAAGTTCGGTCAACAAACAACCACTTATATCTCTCAGGACAGGTCGCCTGAGCTAGGATCCTCGTGTCGTTTCAATGCAGCGAGGTCGTGTCAAATCCACTCCGAAGTGGGAAGTGACATCAATTTCTCACGAAGGATTGTGATTTGGTAAGCAATACGGTCGCAGCAAGCCTGTTGAACTATGTTTCAGATTGTTCCGCCCAACGGCCTAGTAGTCGACACAATATAAAATGGATCAACCGTTCATCTTCTCCAACTATTGTCTCACTAATTGGATTTCCTGGACCAGTGTTCCAGAAGAATTAAAACTGCATTTGGCAGGTCATAACAGCTGACTTTCTCCACCCCACGAGCAACTACCACCCACCAATCTCAGCCAATTCGGAGACATCTTGTCAGTCGTCTTGTCAAAACGTCAGTAACACGCCGAACGCAGCACCTAATTGAAGCGGTTCCCGTGCTACCGTCAAATCGATTGATGCTTCAGAGATACATTCACCTACAGCATGCGTCAAAAGTGTTCTCCATGGCACACTTGAGACGATTCCAGTCAGGCTTGTGCTCACCAACGTTGCCATTCAACAGCGCCTTGCAGCAAATGGTGCAGCGCGTGTGCAATCTGAGTCGAGGGATTCCTTTATGCTACCACTGTACAAGACCAAAAGAATCAGGCAATGTTGCACGAATTATCGTGGTATCAACCTGCTGTTTTGTGGGGAAGGTAATTACACTGATGCTGCACAACTACCTCGTCAAGCAGGTCGTTGAACTGCACATGGTGGAAGAGCAATGTGGATTCCGTTCGAACAGCAGCAGCATAGATATGGTGTTCGTAGCTCGTCAGCTGCAGGATAAATGGCGACAGCGACACGAGCCATTGTACTCACTGTTTGAAGACTTCACCAAAGCATTTGACAAGGTGAACTGCGATGCATTGTGGTTAAAGTTGGGCGCGTTTGCTTTTCAGTGTTTATGAGCTTAATTGTATGTCTGCACAATGATATGCAGGCGAGGGTGCAGCTGAGTAGACAAACTTCGAATGACTTGATGTTGTCTGTGGAATGAAGCAACGCAGTCTTAGCCCTTGCCCCGTTTAACATTTACCTAAAGGCCTAAATGTCTAGTACTTTTGATGGTGTATGTGATTCCGATGTCTGTGTGGATCACCGTATTGATGGCGGGTTACTGAACATCTGTCGCTTAGAGGCAAATATCATCCGCATGTTGCTGTT